AGCAGAGAGCAAGGGCTGAGCCCCTGTTATAAGTTCTTGCTTTCCTTGGCGCCAAGAACCAATGTGTCAGCCAAAGCTGCAATCCCTCGCTTTCGATCCGTTTGAAACTAGAAGAGCTTCGAGAATGATTGCGCCGAAGGCAACATGTATACGGAAGCTGCACTGCTGGGGGACTTCGTGGTGGATGACATCAAGGCCTGGCGGTCGTCTCAATACCACAGCCTGTGAGATCTAAGTCCGCGACTTTAGGGTGATCGACCCGATTTGGATTCAGTTAGGGTTTCTGTGAACCCAGCGCTTTCGCATCTAGATGTATGTGTTTATCCGACTGAGGTGCTGGTCGGCAGCTTCCCAGGGCTCTTCGGCACCGAGCTGGGTGACAAGCTGAGGCACTCGCTGGCAAGGGGTCGTGGGGCTGTGGTCGAGTTCAAAAGCTTAGAGTCTCCACATGGTAGCACTACATTTGCGCGTAAGTCTTTCCGAAACCCGATCCCTCTGAAGCCTTGCAGGGCTTGATCAGCTGGCGATGTAAGGAGAAGCTAACACTTTGGGCCCTTCATGGGAGCCCGAATTTCCCACGACCCTCCCGTAGTGACCAGGAGCTTCTGCCTGCGCCATGGCGTGCCCCTCGCTTGGGGGCTGGGTAACAGCCGACCCTGGCCGGTGGAAGAAAAGCAGTCGTGGGCTCAGAGGATATTGATGATGAGAACTGAAACACTTGTACTGGTGACAATGGTAGAAGCGACGACCATAAATTCGACAATGAAAGCCCTTGTTGAGTTTGTCAGTGGATCGGTCATGCTGGAGGGCATCCAAGAGGCTTGTGACATGCGATCATATTTCTTACACATCCTCTGTCTATGTACTGTAGTTTACATGTGAACCCCCACGCGTAGATGTTGCAGTCAGTTTGCAGCCTGTGTTTTTGCATCTCCTTCGAGTAAATCAGACGACCAATAATTTCGGCAGGCCCCTTTACTTGCTCTGTGTGAGCAGTTCACATTCGTGTTTCTTGGGAGGCTATTGGACTGGCTACCCCTGGAGCCTTTCGAATACTGGCATGGGGCCGGTGTGCGGCTTCTGGACACTTCGAGAGAGCTTTCGGCTATCGGGGATTGGCTTTTAATAGTAACAGTAATAGTAATAAAAATAGTAATTATAATAATAATAATAGTAATTATAGTAATAAAAATAGTAATTATAATAATAATAATAGTAATTATAATAATAATAATAGTAATTATAACAATAATAGTAATAGTAATAATAGTAATAGTAATTACTTCGGCGGTTTAGGCATCAAGGCTAAAGGCCTCCAGGCTTGTTGAGCGTAGCGTGGGAAGTCATCCAACCTGCGCGTTGCATGGTCTTAGTCAGGGAACGTGATCCTAGCAAGCTTCAAGCTTCTGGGTTGGGACTTGAGGCCGTTTCTTGGGCCAACGCAAGTTTCCGATTCTGAAGGTTTCGCTTCTCCACTCGTTATGTAACAGATGCTTCTGCAGTTTGACGCTGTGCATATTTTCAGGTGGGATCTGGAGCTTGCACTTGTCAATTTTCGGTATTCGCGACTTTCTTGGCTTCACCCCACCTGGAGTTTCGAAATTTGCTCCACGGCGGCACCCAGACACTTGCGGGCGGGGGTCGGGAACGTGCTTTGTCTCATGCTTCGCATCCTTCCGAGTGGTGGGGGGGTTGTCCACGCGGCAACGCAGCAACAACACCACAAACGCCTAAAGGCAGCCATCACCAGGCACTACCAGCAATGTTGATGATGCTGATGATGTCGACGGTGATAATGATGGCGACGATGATGATGACAATGAAAAACCAAAATGGTGACGAAGTCGCCAAACCCACGCATGTTCGACATGTTGTTCCAAGCCAACGTGCCTCCCGCACCACGCGCGGGAATGCACCGCGAACCATGACATGCCGCGCCCCCCTTTTCTTTTAGTCTGCGTTGTCTTTGATACACCCCCCCCCCCCTGGAAGCACGTGTCTTCGCTCAGGCAGTATAGATAGCTGCAGAAACCGTAAAGCTCCGGTCAAGTCTAGTGTTGTCGAATCCATGTTCTTCTAGATGCTTAGATGATGCAGCCACTGCCTGGACAAACATTCCTGGCATGACGAAGTTGTCTTGAAGAATTCCTCTGTCAAAGCATGCGTTCTGCTGCCTGCACTTTGCGGCCCGTGATGTTTACGGTGTGGGCCTGTGAAATGACGGCTTCCAGGGGTCTTGCTGCAGGACCCGATTGCTGGGTGGGCGCTGACCAATTCCACTCAGGGTGGCGGCGTACTTCGGCAGCAACTGCCGGCTGCGGTTTGCCGAAAGTTGCATGAGGAGTTTTCTCCGAAGAAGCCGCCGACTGTTGCTGTGCTCTGCTTCAGTTCTTGAGACTGCAGCCTTCTGACATTCGTGGGACCTGACGCACCAAAGCCTTGATTGAGGGTGTAAAACAGGTTGTTGACTCTGGCCTGTGGGGTCCAGTATTTTGCTGAAGTTTTTTGGCATTCCCGGTTCGCGTGCTGAGACGCTGCACAGCAACTGGAACAGGCGGAGACCCTGGCGGTTTGGAAGCAGGTGTGGACACAGATCGCTCACGAGAGGCAAGTGAACCTTGGCTTCATTCATGGCGGAGAAAGACATTGATTGAACTCTCTTGCTGAGGGCTTCACCATGTCTTCAGGCTCAGTTGCGGAGTTCCCGCCTGGGACCGTGACATGAGAAGTTGACATCGTGTCAGTAATATTAAACCTGCATTGGCAACTCACCTCCGGTGGGTCACAGGCTTATTGACCTCATAGTGCAGCTCCACCGACCTTGGCCTTAGACATCCCTAGATCATAGCCCGTTCCCAAGGCGCAATGGCGGGCTGACGCGTGCCGAGTTCCAGACCTGGTGGCAACACATTGCCGTCCAGGACTATCCAGTGCTGCTTCGTGGCATCGAGCTGCCTGCGGGCTTTGACTTTGCAGATCCTTTGGAGATCGACGGATCCCGATGAATTTAAGGTTTGGAGACAGGCACGTTCGGACTTGGTGCGAGGTCCGACATCACGAATCGACGTCTGACCCTCTCGTGCATGTGATTGCTCCTGATGTTGATGCTTCGTTGGCGCAAGTTGTCCCAAAGGAACCTATGATGACAAGGATAACCAGCACAGCCAACGAGCCCTGCCATGTGCAACCCGTACTCCGCTGGCGCCGAGATATCTACATCTGCTTGCCACCATGCCGCTGTCGTTGTCGCACTCCAATCTTCAAAACAGAAAACGACATCAGCAGTTCTAGTCATGGTACGAAGACTGGTGCTCACAGCAGGCATCGTGCAACGGTAATCTTGTGGCAACCAAAATCTTCGGATCAACTTGCTACCTGTCTGGTTCGCCCTCGACTCTGTCGAGTCTTGAAAACAGCCTCGCCAAAAGTTTAAAGCTTGTTTCCAAGCTCTTGATGGCATTTCTGTGTTGATTCATTGGGTCGTAAGCTGACGGTTTGCATGAGTCCTTTGCCGGGGATTTGGGCAGTACTCTCAGGAAAGGTTTGCGTGGCGCTGGCTGTCCGGATGATGTTTGCTTCGGCACCATCGAAGCAGGAGGTGCTCCCGCATGCTGAACAGTTTTGCTGCTAGAGGTCTCTCTCTACAGTCTGACATCACTCGGTAGTGCACGCAGGCCACGCCGGACGCAGCGAAAGCTCAACAGGAAGCCAAGACCGCGCGACCGCCCATCGCACCCACATGCAACAATCAAGCAGTGAACAGTTGCGACCTGTAGCCGGGCCGTGGGCAAACGAAGACACTGCATTCGAGCAAACACACTGCGGGGTTGGCATCGGCGTTTACGTCTCCCTTGCAAACGTCAAGGACAGCTCAGCTGGAAAGCCACTTGCTTCTGCCAGGCAAACGCGACTGCATCTGCCGCGCGACTGTTGATGGCAGCTCGAAGACCATCCTGGTTTGAGCAACAGTTAGAGAGGCGATGCCAAAGGTTGTACGGCCAGACACCATCTAGCATTCAAGATGGTAAGCGTGGAAGCGGTAGAACCCCAAAGGCTCTGAACTCTGTAGCCACTTGTGGTTGATTGCTTTTAGTCCTGGATCGGGCTTGTGATTGGTTTTAGCTGCTAGTGCTCTCCCCAAAGCCAATCTCCGATCACCCGTTTTAGTAGCAGCAGAAGGCTCAGCAGGCCGGAATGCAGGAGGCAGACGTTCTTCGGAGGACATGCTGCGCGAGCAGATTGTCTCCCGGTGAAGACCTGCAGGGGCCGGAGGGCAGAGGGCCTGCAGTTTGGGGTTTGGGGTTCCGCTGGTCTTCTTGGGTGCAGATGGTACAACCTCTCGGTCATATTCTCCCAAGTGACTCTACTGTAGTTGAACTCTGTGGGATGCCAGACAGATAGAGGCGAAGTGGCCTTTCTCTCCTTCCCTGGGGTTGAGGCATTTCGTGCGAAGCACGCATCTTCCGCCTCCGTTTGCACACCTGCCTGGATTCGCAGGGGGAAAGACGGGGAGAACGCCTCCCCCCCACTCTCTAAAGTTCTTGAAGCCATTTTCGCATCATAGTATCTGATACAACGGACATAGTATCTGATACAACGGAGCGCAGCCAAAACAAGGCCTTCTCCCGTCACCCCCACCTTCCTTTAAGCCTTTAAGCTGCGAGTTTTTTTTTCGCCGCTGCGATTGGTAGGGCGAAAAGTGCACTGCGAGCAATGCTTGGAGTGGTGCGGGATCCGGAGCAACACCCCCCAGCCTGGGCTGAGATGCCCAGAAATCTCCAAACTCAACAGTGCGCTGGGCCCTGGATCCTCAAAGCCTTCGGTGGTGCTGAGCCCATAGCCTATTAGGCCATAGATCCTAAGATCCCACTGGGAAGAGAAATGTATATGTATGCTCGAGTGCGAGTGCGAGAAATATGTAAATACATAATTATATGTATACAGGTCCGAAATCTGAGATTCTGAGTACTCTCCCAAACAGTTTGCTTCGCGGAACAAAGGTGGGGCCTCCTCCGTCCCGGGTCTATTGCACCACCTCATGCCGGGGCGCTCAGGTCTTGCATGTGTCTCCTTGACTCACGGCTGCTCATGGCTGCAGGATGTAGGATTACACAAGGTTTGGGGTGGGGCTTTCGAGGAGTTTAGAGAGGCATCGCGCTTCTTTGCAAGTAGGATATGGGGCCTTGCCGAAGGGTGAGCCGTTTTAGACTGGAGACGTGGAGAACAGTGAAGTGTGATCTCGGATGTTGCTTGATTTAGGATGCTGTCGCTAGCAAGGATGCCTGACAGGAATGTTGCAATCATCGCCCAACATTGCAGCACAATACACGTAATTTTTGGATTTTCCGGGCACCCGTAGCTTCTCGCAAGACAGGCCCTAAGTCTAAGTTTTCTGAGACCCTTGAGTCCGGAGGTCGAGCCCCCGACCTACCCTAGCCCATCAGTCTCCGCTGAAAAGGCACAATGGACTTTCTCGATTGTTTCCAAGAGGCGCTTCGAAACATGAGCAGCTCGGCCTTGGTAAGTAGCGTTTGCCATGTGGGTTTTGTGTGGACGTGCACCGGATCATGCTGAGCCGTGGAAGCCCGTGGCTTCTGATGCCTCCCTGTAGTCCATGACTGTAGGTCGATGAGCCTTTCAAAGGTTCCTACAGTTGCGTAGCCTTCCGAAGTGTTTCGGCTAGTGTCAGATCAGATGCTCAGACATACCCCGGAGGTTTCCACAAGACGACGGAATCCGAAAGCCGAGGCACCTGCAAAACCGAGCGGCGCAGCAACCCCCACAGCTTGTACAGGTGGGTATAGTCGGCGTACCGTTTGGGCGGTGTTGGGCCTTTGATTGGAGACGAACCAAAACATTCGGAATTTGGGCGGATGAGGCTGAGAACTCATGTTCAAGCTGTAGTTGCCAGAACTGGTTTGGAGGCGACATGAGACTATGAACAGACCATTCCGCATCTTGTGGCCGATGCGCCTTTTGCATTCCCAAGCCTAAACGGATCTCAAGTAGCCGCCTGTGCGCAAAGTGCCAACTCGCGACCAAAAGGTGCACCTTGCGGGGCGGTAAGTCGTTGGTATGGTATTGTTGCATCTTGTTCTGTGGGGGCAGCATCATGCCACAGGCGTCGGCTGGGACTTGCCATCTCTCATGATTCGTTGCAGACGGCTGCTTCGGCAGAGGGCCTGAGTTTAGTTGTAGGCGAATCCTGTACACAATCACAGCAGCAGTAAGTACAAGAACAGCGGCAACCACCAGTGCTTCGACTGCACTCCCACTACCAGTGCCACTCCCACTCTCGTTGCTGCTACTTCTACTGCTGCTGCTGCTACTACTGCCACTACTACTGCTCCTCCTACTACTACTGCTGCTGCTACTACTACCACCACTACGACTACTACTCCTACTCCTCCTCCCCTACTCCTGCTACTACTACCACTGTTATTACTACGACGACTACCACTACCACCATTACAATCACCACCCCCACCACCACCACCACCACCACTAACCACTACGACGACTACCTCCTGCTTCGTCCGCCTGCTGCTACACCTCATCAGCAGGCACCATATTAGTCTGGCCGCTCTGTTGACGATGAGAAACAGAAGTGGCATCAGCCCAGAGAAAGATGGCGAGGAGTTCTGCTCATCGAAGTAGTGATACTTGTCTTCTTGTAAGGCTTAACTATGTTGCCGAGTGGCCTGTGCACGACTTGCTGTTACAGGCCCCAGCACATGGACAAGCAGTTAAATCCAAAAGCAATAAAGTGGCCTGACGAAGGCCGCAGCAAGGCACTATGGCAGCTTCGGAAGCAGCAGCCCGCCCGACTTGTCTGAACCTAGAAACCTTTCAACCGACCATTTGCAAGATGCTCCATAAAGGTCTTTTAACCGTGCCAGTCTTGAAAGAGAAAGGGCCCTTGAACCATTGGGACTCGATGGGATGGCGATCCATTCCTGGCGTCGGCCTTGAGATGCCATGCGATGGGACTTGCGCTCAGTCACTCCAGGATTCTTTTCAAGCAAGATGAACTGAGTGCCCGAAGCCCAGGCCTAGTTCCGACAACATGCTGCATGGAGAACTCCGGAGCTCTTAGAGCAAGGAGGCTTTCAGCTTTTAACGCTGATTTAAGGGAAATGCCTTTCGGATGCTGAGGATCTTGGATCATCGCTGCAGGCGGCCGGCTGTGATCTCCAATTACAGCCGGATACAGGTGGGCTTCTTGAGGTCTTCACAAGGGTTTTCTCATCGAGTCACTTCAGGGTTTGATCCCAGTTAATGGGTTGTTGTAGATAGATGCGGCTTCTGTTGAAGGCAGCCTTGAATCGTTCCTTTGGTCGTGCCGTCCATGAGTTAGTGTCATCCCCATGTGCAGCTGTCTTGCAGAAAATCTTGCAGTTTCCCTTGCCTGAGTTTGTGGCAACCTGTTTACCACCCATGAGGGTTCCACGGCCATTGTGCCGCCGTGCTACACGATAGTACAGAGCCCTCAAGTTATTTAGCACGGCTCCACCTAGGTGTTTGTTATTTGGTAAGCAGACTTGCCGTCCGGCCACGCTGGACAGTTCATCTTCAGAACAACAGATTGCTACGTTTGCTTCGGGAAGTTTAAGATAAATCGCTAAACACTTTGCTCGAAACCCGCTTTAGCCTGCTGTTAAATTTCAATAGCAGATCTAATCCCCACCCTTCTTGGTGCCTGAATGACAGAAACTTTACTCTTCAACCCACAAAACAACGAACACCAAGCACAATCATCGCGAGTGGCGATTGCTCTGCACCCCGCAGACAGGCAACGAAGCCTGCTTCTTCCCGGCAAAGGGGAAGGTGCCGCGATGTCTACCGAGAGGACAAGACCCAGAACCAACAGACGGGAGGGCTTCCAGATTGGGCCTCGAAGGCTTCGAGGCCTGAGCCTGGCAAGCGGACTTTGCGTTCAGTCGAAGTTCTTCAAGGTTAGGCTCCGCCATGTTTAAGGGCATCTCTATCCTGGGGACCGGGCCTTTCCAAATTTGATCCTGCAACGAGTATTCAGAACTTTGTCCGAGTTTCCACAGGACGGTCCGCGCAGCCACGCCATGAAATCAAATCTAGCACAGCGCACTAGACTGAGCCGCCGTAGTAGACTTGTGAACGCCTTACTTAGAATGCTCTGACGATGGCAAAGATCGATGCACAGCAACAGCAGGAACGGTAACACGACGACGACGGCCACAGCCAAAGCCAAAAACACAACCGCAACAACACACGAAAGCAGCAGCAGCAGCAGCAGCAGCAGCTTCTACTGATGCTGCTGCTGCTGCTGCTGCTGCTGCTGCTGCTGCTGCTGCTGCTGCTCCTCCAGCTCTTGCTCGAGCTGCACATATCACTACTGGTACTACTGCTACTACTACTACTACTACTACTACTACTACTACTACTGCTATTACTGCTATTGTGGCCGCCTGCTCCTGCTCCTACTACTGTACTCCTCCTCCTAGTAGTACTACCACCACCAGTACTACTGCTGCTCCGGTACCACTACCCCACAATTCATCACGATGACGACGACGACTATGCCGTTCCTTGACACAATTGCACACCCCGCAGGACAGCCGACGGCTTTCATCTTTGGGGGCCTGCCCAAGCCCCAAGACCCACCAACGATGCAGATGAAGGGGCAAGACCCAGAATCTGGGCTGAAGGGCTGGTGATAGCGTCGTCCTTGGAGTTTCAAGTTTAAGGCCAAGAGCCGATCAGCTGAGTCTGGGTTCGAACAACGGTTTCTTGGCCAAAGTCTCTTCACTTTGACGTCTAGGCCTGACAGAACAGATAAGCTTAAAAAGAGTGGGGCCAGTACGAAACACCAAAAAGTTGGATTTACAAGCAATTACCCAGTTATATCTACCAGATAGGGTGGTTTTCAATTCCCAGTTCCTTGATGTTTGGCCTCCGTGGAGGCTTTCGCACTGTCAGCAATGGACTTACACTACGAGGTGTTTTTAGTTCAACCGGGAGTCGTGGACTCGGCCCGCGGCGAGCCAAGTTGGGTATGAACTTGTCTGAACTATAGCGCCTTCAAGACAATATTCGTAGACGTAGACCCCCCCAGCCTGATCTGTTCTCGCAGCCAAGGAAGGGAAGATGAAGGGGCAGGCCATCTTCGACTTCGTTTGTTTGCCTGCGCTGTTCTTACATACTTTGGGACACTTGGCCCGGCAGCTGTTACAAGCATGAAAGGTGGAGGTTTCATCGCACCCTTTATTGCTGTCGACTCCAATCTTCCCAGCAGCCTGCAATCACTCGAGAAGCAGTCTGAGAATCAAGATAGTTGCCATCCTCTTCTCCCATGGAGCCCTGGAAGCACCGCCAGCCTTCTGCGTTACGCCACGCAAGCCATTGTAGAAGCTTTGGCCAGGTTCACTGGCAGGACCAAGAAGGTTGCTACGCAGGACGGGTGCGCTCTGCAATACTGGTGATGAGCAGAGAAGAAGGGAGATGCTGATAATTACTAATGCTGGAACTGTGGCTGATAGTGCACAAAGGGATGCTTTTGCCACAATACCCCTGCATATTAGTCTAGCAGTGACACTCGTGTTCGTGCTTGACGCTGTCGCAACGAAGTACCTTGTAGTAGCAGCAGAGGCAGCGGCAGCAGCCGAGTAGTAGTAGTAGTAGTAGTAGTAGTAGTAGTAGTAGTAGTAGTAGTAGTAGTAGTAGTAGTAGTAGTAGTAGTAGTAGCAGTAGCAGTAGCAGTAGCAGTAGCAGTAGCAGTAGCAGTAGCAGTAGCAGTAGCAGTAGCAGTAGCAGTAGCAGCAGCGGCGGCAGCACCCAGCAGAAGCGGTAGTAGCACCCGTCGTCGATATCCTGGTGTTGGTGGTGGCCCTGGTACTTACAAGTAGTTGTAGCAGCAGCAGGAACAGTGACATTAGCAGCAGGAGTAGGAGTTGTTGTTTCTGATGTTATGTAAGAGACACGAAGAAATAGTTGCTGCTGCTTCTACTACTACTGCTTCTACCTCTACTCCTCCTCCTCCTCTTCCTACTATTACTACTGCTGCTGCGACTACGACTACGACTACTACTACTACTACTACTACTACTACTACTACTACGACGGCGACTACGACGTCTGCTTCGGCTAGTAGTTTTGCAGCGACCTAGTGGGAAACAGTAGTTTGCAGAAGGCGCAACGGTGCCTCTTGCTGTTGCATGACGCATAGTTCGTCAGATAGGAACATATGGGCTCCGTGACCTCCGCTGCACTGACTCTCGGGCGGTGCGTCAGGAGCTGTTCCTCTCAGAATGGTTCTAGATCAATGCGCAGTCCGCAGTGCGGTAGCGCAGACACTTGACTGGCAGGAGCCAGAACATAGAACAGTGTGCATAGCAACATAAGAGATTCATTGAAAGGGCTGGTCTCCCCATAATATATTCCCGTGTCAACATCTAGTAGGAGCAGTATGGCCAAGCAACCCGAGATTTACAGCTCGCCCTTTGCCGGACCATCGCCGGTGAAGGCTGTGCTTCAGACAGCATGGCCGGGGGTGCCAGGAGCTTAAAGCCTCCGGGGGGCCCATGGCAGGGCTCGAACAGTTAAGAGAGGAGTGGCTTATGTTCTATATGTTTGCAAGGTAGACACTACTGACTACTATAAGTTATCAGAGTTTGTTTGAGATCTCCAGCGGTTTCGGTGTGCTGTGGAATTGCTTGGAGGATGCACGGAGTTTGACGGTTGCGCCACGAGTTTCCAGCCGTTGAATTTGCAAAGTCAAAACTCCTCGCATGTCCCTGAAGTCCTAGGACCTCGGATTCAGAATGTCAGC